TCACAGTCCCACCTTAGGCATGAAAGCCAGCTGGGTGACTTTGGGCTAGTCATTTTCTCTCAGCCCAATTCTATTCACAAAGTGGTTGGTGTGGAAAAAATAGAAGGAGGAAGGAGTATTGTGTATGTTCGCCACCTTGAATTATTTATAAAAAATAATAATAAAGGTGGGATCTAAATAAATACATCCTAAGGCACAATCCAACGAATTATTAAAACCAGCCAACGAATTACTGTATATATAAGTATCATTCATTTTCTTCCTGCTCTCTCCGAGTAGGGCACAGAGACAAAAAGTCGATGATGAACACAAAGGAAAGGAGTAAACTAATATGAGGGCAAGGTTAATCTATCCTGACAAAGCAACTGGAATGTAATCCTCTCAGCAGACCTGTGGGTTCATATATGCCTCTGTAGGTGAGGAAATTTCCATGAGATAAGATCAGGCTGAGTAATTACTTCCACTTTACAAAAGATATGACACCCTCTGTGTAATGAGAGAAATATAAATTTTACCTTCAGAATATTATTCTACAACATCAGAGAAGTTAAAACATGCCATATAAACCTATCCCATTTGAAGACAGGATGCAGTGGAGCCTGCAAAAGGCTTTCTCTCTGGTCTACTTAGAACCTTGTATCTTAATATAAAGAACATTTCCTAGCAAATGATGTACAAAACAAATTGTAAAGCAGGGGACATGCCAGCAGCAGATGTTTAGCTATCCCACTCTAAACCAATTTTTGAAATATTACCATGGGATCCGATATAGTCTTTGTGCTATTCTCAATTTGGCTAAACATCGGTAGGTTCATACCAGTTAATTATGATGAAACTTTATTGACAGCTAAATATTATAACCTGATATGCTAAATAGAAAAAAAAAGTTGGTGGTTTGGACTAGAGTAACCTTTTTCCAGCAGTAAATACTAGTGTTCTTCACCTTCTGCTTTCTTTTCATAAACATCTGTGAACAAATCCTTGAGGATATGACTAATTGCACTAATAAGAATTCAACTGAGTCTGTCCCAGCCTCCTCCTCCTTCTTATTTAATCCATAAGATAATTAGCTCAGTGGAGTAATAGGCAGAATCAGCTCCGGGTGGTAAGATGCAAGTTTGCTTATTAAATCTGGTCCCTTTAGAGATCAATCAGCTGGAAAAAAATAGATGTGTGAGATTCTTAGGTCCCTTAGTAGAATATTTACTAGAAATTGACATGGGATTTATGCCAATATCTTTGTTGACAAAGTTCCTTATTTATATATTGCTGTATTTTTCCCCAAAAGGAAAAGAATGTTCTACCAGGTAAACATTCCCTAAATATTCACATGTTCGATACTATCAGCAGCACTTGGAATATTCAGTGTGAAAAAAAACTTGAGAACATATAAAAAAATCACAACTAGCTACAGTGATCAGCCTCCAGCTGTATATGTTCCAGGCAATGCTAACAAGCTCTGCAGCATAATATTACATAGCAGATGTCCCTAGTAGAAAGTCATCTGGGGCACATTAAGGATGTTTTTTCAAATCCTATCAAGCAACTGCATAAGGTAGAATTGGCAATATTTGGGGCCAGATGGTTGATTTGTGAGAGCATGTTGTAGGTACTCTCATAAAATGGCTGCCATGATTCCCATGCGTATTTTCTCATAAAATTCTCATTTATCAGAAAAATGAATGAGCTTAATGTCCTCTCTTACTTCCTTGGATACCCTCTGTTGCCCTAGATTACCTTTTGATCTTTTTCTGGGCAGACAAGCACACTTGGGAATGAAATTTATATGGGGATGACACTAGCTCTCAAAACGATGCTAGAAGATTGGCACTTTGGGGCATGTTCCCTTTCCATGTATTTCTAACTACAATAAACATTTTAATAATAAAAATAAAATCAGCTGGGCAGAAATCCTATTGATACAGATTACCTATAGGAGGCTTAAGGATGGAGGAAGCTACCCACACATCTCTTACTTTTAGGATCACCTACATCAGTGGTTCTTAACCTGGGCGATATTGCCCCCCAGGGGCGATTTCATTTTTCAGGGGGGCGATGGAATGAAAAGGGGCAACGCGGGGGCAAAGGAACGAAAAGGGGGCGATATGGGGGCGATGGAGCGAGAAGTTTTGGGGACACTTTTTTATTTTTAAAAAGTTTTTATTTTCCATTTTTCATTACACTCATACAATACTTCAGATAAAAAGTAAAATAAATTTATACACACAACTTTCGGTATTGCTCACTCATTTCCCCCCAAACCGCATCCTCCCACTGACTTCCTCCCTTACTTCCCTCTTCCTCTCTCTTCTTCCTCACTACTCTCTTCCTCTCCTCTTTCTCCTCCACCTTCCTACTTGCTTCTCCCCTTCCTCCTACCTTCCTATCCCACTCGGATGCAGTCCAGGGAAAATGCCCGAGCAATTCCTCTCTCCAAATTACAACATCAATATTATATACAATAAAACTATTTCTACTTATCTGACCTATTTAACCTCCAACCTCTCTTTTGTCTTCTTGATTGCTCTGGCTTCAATTCTCTGATGGTTTTACATCTGCGTTTGTATGGGGCTAAAGTCTTGCTTGGGGCAGAGAGATAGATTTGGGGCCAGGTTTGGTTTTTAAAAAATCCTTTGGAAGAAAAATATATTTTTCTGCCCTTTTAATATTTCCTTCTCTGGGCTAACTTCCCTCACTGCATATCTATGTACCTTAGATTCAGAATATCTCCTCTACATAAAATCTGAACTGTTTCACCATATTAATGTTCTGATGCATATAGCTGGGAGATCTTTGTTGCCTCTCTTTGCTAGGATTAAATGGATATAGAGATTTTTTTTAATGTGGCAATAAATATTGTGTACCTGTGAAAAAGACTTTCACAGAAAGACTGTGAAAAAAGACTGGGGCTGACTGAACAATCAAATGTTAAGTGGAGCCATATTTATTACTTCAGCTCCTTCTCCATAGAATATTGCTGCTATCAGTGTATCAGTGTAAGTCCTCATTCTTCCGTTGACAGGGAAGTAAAAGTGGATTTTGAATCCTTGCCTCCAAAATGAAAAGTTGGCTGGAGACTCTGTGGCTTTTCCTTTCTGAGAACAGTACAGTATGTTGTGATAGAAACTAACTCATAGCATCAGTCTTTATTCACCAATATTTTTGATGGCTGCTGCTGTATAAGTGGGAGAGTATTGTTATGTATATAATGAAGTAAAAAAGCTGATCCATATAGGGGGATAATCTGGCTTTCTATAACTGGAATACAATGTTGCATTGATTCTGCAGTTTGATCTTATTGCTTTTTTATGATGTGTTATTCAAAATTACGTTTTTCCACCCTTCTGTCCTTAAGAGTTGTTAATTGTTTTACTAATGTAGCCATTATATTTCTCTGCATGGTATGATTTGTACATAAAAGTCTATGACTCACTGAATTACATTAGACAATCGGGAAATAAACTTAAAACAATTCTGAGGTAGAACAAGTTAGCTATTTTTAAGTGACACTGAAGTTAGCATAAATTCATTCTGGTGATTTTGTTCTATTAATATAACCAAAGCAACAGTAGATCTAACATTCTTTGAACTGGGTGGATCTACATAGGATACTTTGTTCCATCAAGCTAAAATGGAATGCCCCTCTTACTATAGGGAATCTGGAAAAATCAAAATTAGCTCAAATTATTAGCAAGGAAGAATATATAATATGCAAAAGAAAAAAACAAATCACTGACCCAAATAATTTTGTTACAAAACATATAACTTATTCTACAATATAATAATAAAAGTAATTGTGGATCAGGAAGAGAACTATTGCAAATATCCTCTTCTTGGGTAAGGTATTTTGAGGGGATAGTGTCAGATTATTTATTCTTGGAAGGTATGAATTATTGAGACCCATTTTAGACAAATTTCAAGCTGGATTTTGGCACTAAAAACTGCCTTAGGTGTTTGGACAGATGATCTACTCTGGGGAAAGATGGAGAATGTAACTGTCTGTTCTACTGAACTTCATGTGGCTTTTGATAGCATCAACTATGGAATCATGTGAAGTTAAGAGCTGGAGTCGAAGAACTATTCTTCAATTATTGTCCACCTGCATCCAGTCAGCTCCAGAGGATGGCTTTAGAGTACTTTTACCTGGCCTTTTAACAAGGGGGAATCCCAGAAAGTTCTGATTTAACACACATGCTGTTCAGCATCTATGAAAGCCACTAGGCAAGGATATCAGGAGATTTGAGCTGGGTACTACCAGTGTGCTGATAACACTTGAATCTGATTTTGTCATCAAAATCAGGTGAGGTACTACAGTATGAGACGATGGTTCCTAGCCTGGGGCCTTAACTATTAGACTACTAGACAAACAGGGTCCCACAGGTAATAAATTATATCTCAAAAATTCTTATGCATTGAATCATTTGTAGCTCTAGCTCTAAAAATAAAGAGGGCTACTGGGGATAGCCATCTAACACTTTTGTGTGTCATTATGCCCTTTTCTGGATAGTATTTTTGGGGAACATAGATGACCAAATAATATATTTGCTTCTTTAGTTTCTTGGATAAAGGAAATCTAAATATCCTAGCTATCACATTAAAAGAGACTAACAATTTTACTACTTTCTTTGCATTTTTTTTTCCATTAACTCCTATATACTAATTCTCACGTTGCTCCACATGTGGCAGATTTTTTAAATTGTCCAAGCTAAAACCCGAAATTTCATTAACATCTTCGGAACGCTACCTGGGGCTTAATATAAAGGAGATTTTCCATCTTGATGTTCTATTCTCCGCCTTACAGCATTCCCACTGTACAAGCAACCCTCAAACTTGTATAAACTCCAGCGCTATTACTTCCTCTCTATAGTTAATCACTTCGGAGACATACCCTCCTTTAGGAAAGGGTTGTTTTCCGCTTTCCGGTCGGCTTAACGCTCTCGGAAGTTCTATTTCCGACCATAGAGATGTCTCCTCTCTCCCCCGTCTCTCTATGATACCCTGACGTATGACTCTCGTAGAGACAGGAGCCGGAATGCGTTGTGTTGACCCCCCCCTACTGGACCGCTCTGTTTTTGGTTGTTCCTCTAGCTATCTATGATTCTCTTAAAGGAGCCGCTTGGCTTCCAGAGTTGCGGGGTCCCGAGATGTTACTTACGGTGAAGGCGCTCCAGGGCCGGGAATGCAGCCTCCAGGTAACCCTTCTTTCTTTCCGGGGCCGAGGTCGCAGCGGATCGGCGCTGAGGGCTTGCCCAGCAAGCCACGCGGTTCTCCCGAGGGTAGAGGGAGGGGGCTTCCTGGAGGGTCCGGCTGGAGGGGGAGCGCGGAGCCTGGCCTTGGGCCGGGCAGGTAGGGCGACGGAGGTAGGCGGGCCCCTTCAGAGCAGTCCTGGGCCTCGATCCTTTTTCCTCCGCTCATCCCTTTTCCGAGGATTCCTTGGGTGCTTCCTGGGAGGAGAGCAGACCCTCCCTGACCTTCCTTCAGGAGCCTTTCCTTCCCAAGGTTTATATATCAGAGCAGTTTGGCCCGAGCTGGTAACGACTTGGTGGATTAAAAATCTCACAAGACCCCACACCCACCCACCCACACCAGGAACCCAAGGGAGGAAGGCAGGCTGACCTGGATTTGCGGGTTGGATGACATTAATGTATTACCTACTGATACCCTGCATCTCAGGCCTTAAGAAGAGACCTGCAAAGGGATGAGCCCCCCACATCCTATCCCCACCGTGGTCAACCAAATATGCTGGTGAATCCACGCTCTGTGTTGCCCAGAAGCAGCAGGCACTGAAAGGCAAATGTTTCTAAAGATGATAGGCAACCATTATGACTAGTAGCCAGTGATACTATATTTATTATTTATATAGCTGGTCATCTCAAATACCCGACTGGGAGCCTACAGCAATTAAAAATAGAATAACAAAATATTATACACACACACACACACATATTCCATGAGTTTGAAATCACATTTACATATATTATTTCATCTCCTTTGAGATCTGTAGATTAAAACTCCATAGTTTTCCCTGAACTGGGTTCTGAATCTCTTGTAAACTCCGGTCTTATCAAACAGAGGACTTTAGAGTCTGTCATTGTTTAAAACAGAGGAAAAGCACTCTCTTCCTTAACATGCTTAAGTAAAATTGTTAAGGGAGTTTATACAACCTAATACTTGGTCAGGTCCAAATTTGCTTACTTTTAGCCAGCCAGATACAATTTGCATTTTCACAATTTTAATCAAGCTTGAGCAAAGAGTATTTCATATTGAAATATTCAAACATTACATTTTTGTACTATTCTTTGCCTAAGAATTTCATGTGTGGGTTCTTTGTAGTTCTTGCTCCAGTTGTTTAAGGGAAGGCCATATCTATTTACTGTCAACAAATTAGAGATTTAGAGGGAGCAGAAGAGAGCCAGAGGTTAAATGCAGCAATGTTTCCAATATTTAATGAACAATGAAGTTTTATCCATGAATTTCCAAATCATAATTTGCATTTTTCTCCCACAGAGGGGACATAACCAGGGGCCTAAGTTAAAAAGCACTAATAATATCTAACAGATATCAGATTTACTCTACAGAAAATGTCCATACTGAAAAAAGTTGCATTTGCTAATTTTCTGTCACTAACCTCAACTGTATGAGTGGGGAAAACGTACTAGACCAGGGGTAGGCAACCTTGGCTCTTTTATGACTTGTGGACTTCAACTCCCAGAATTCCTGAGCCAGCCATGCTGAGGGGAAAGGGAGAGGTTTCCAAGCTGAGCCATGGCTGGCTTAGGAATTCTGGGAGTTGAAGTCCACGAGTCATAAAAGAGCCAAGGTTGCCTACCCCTGTACTAGACTAACCGCTGAAAGATAGGTATCATTAAGTTGTATGTATTGCTAGGGTGTCTAGCTGGGGTTGAAAAAGCATTTCTCAAATCCCTCTTTTAGTTTTTTGATCATAATTTGTACTCTCTGAAATACCAAATTGAGGCCCTCTCTTTGAAGCATGGCTGGCTCAGGAATTCTGGGAGTTGAAGTCCACAAGTCATAAAAGAGCCAAGGTTGCCTACCCTTGGCCTAGTCTCACCTGACAATATTCTTCCTTCTCAGGTCTCCCCTGATGAGCGCATCTCCTCTCTCAAGCGTATGGTCTCAGAAAAGCTGAATGTCCCAGTCTCTCAGCAGCGCTTACTTTTCAAAGGCAAAGCTCTGGCAGGTGGGTGCTGAATGATTAATCATAAGGCAGTTGGTGATGCAGAGAGGGCAGTCAGGCTCACCCAAGGTAGCCTTTAAAAAAAAAAAAAAGCTTTAGAAGACATATCAAAAAGAGGAATGAGATCAATAGTTTCTGTGACACCCAGTTTGAGAGAAATATGAGCACAGAGAAAATAGCACACAATTCCCCAGGTTTATGTGGGAGTAGCAGCTCCCACTTTCTGCCAGTCTTAAAAATTTACCAATGCAACTTGTTCTGATAGTTCTTCTATTCTTTTCTTATAAATGAAGTGTGGCCAAAGAAGTCGAATGATGGCTGTGATAGTGCAATTGAAGCTCTGCCTATTTTTTTGTGTTGCATCAACGATGCACGTAAAAACCAGGCAGAGTTGGAATGTTACTATCACATCTGCCCTCTTGACTTGCAGTATTTTAACCGTATCCTGTAAACACCTCTGGGTTTTATTGTAATGTAATATCTTAGCAGGAATACGGGTCTATCTTGCTGATCCCTGGCTTATACTGTAGTTTGTAGCAATTCATGCAAACTTTTGATATTTATAAAGTTTTCTGTATTTATAAAAATATTAAATACCACTTGTGTTGAAGAATGTGTAAGAGAATTGGTGTTTATAATCTTATTTTCTGTACAAAGTTTTTATCTGTAATAACTAAACGTTTGCTACATAGCTTGAAATTTGCCTTTCTCTTGAAATCATCCTAGTAAGTTGCTCTGATTACACAGTTTTTTGTATGGTTCTTTTTAATAAGCAGTTATCTTTATTAATTTTGATCTGTACTGTACAGCAGTGGGTTTTATGGGCTGGCAGCATATCTCAGAGAAAAGTAGAAGCTCCTCTGATTTCCCAGTTGCAAACGATACTCTTCTGTGTCATTCTGGTGCTGGACGTTTGTGACAGTATAGAAAATATTCTTTCATGAAATATTTACTTCATAATGTCCATTAAGATCTAAGGAGTCTGACCTTTGGGGGTTTATATGCTTTTTGAAATGGAATAATAGCAAATGCCTGCTCTTTTTATTAACTGGGCAAGCAGCTGACTAAATGCTTTGCTCTTTGGCAAAAACTAGCAAGAGTTTCCTGATTCTATATGTTAAAAAGAATATTATATAGATTTGGAGAACAAAAGTTCACGTTCAAACTCGAGGTCTTATCTAAAATTATAGACAGTAGATATGATGATTATAGCCTCTGGTCCTCAAAATCTGCAGTTATTAGGTATTAAGCTGTGGTTTTTCTCCACCAACACACTAATGTAGCCAAGCTTCTGAAAATAAGATTTATTTATTCAGTGCAGGATGGCTGCCATTAGATCTGCTTTGAATTGATTTCTTTATGCTCCTGTCCACTTAGCAGCCCCTCCCTTCTTTCCTAGATGAACACCGTTTGTCCGATTACTCTATTGGACCCGAGTCAAAGCTTAACCTTGTGATCAAGCCTTTGGAGAAGGCATCACCTGAGGATCCTAACAGCAGAGCTGGCTTCCCACAGACTTCAACCATCTGGCACATGCTGGCCCAAATTCTGAGCAGGCATTACAGTGTGACGGATACTGAGAAAGTGCTGGAGCAGATGCAGAAGGTAAATTTTCCTTTCTGTGTGGGTGGACGTGTAGGAGAGAACAGGCAATTGATCTCTTAACTCTGATAGCATTGTGGAACTCTGTTTGCAGGCATGCCAACATAACCGCAGTGTAGATATTACATGGGTATTAGAATAGATTTGAAAGGACTCAGCAAATATAATCCTCTAAGAAGAGAGGGATCAGTCCCAATAGTCCACTGGGAAGCAGGAAAAAAGAATTAGATGGGGCATTATTTGAGATCAGGGAAAGAATTGTAAATAAGGCAAGTAAGTAAATAAGTTCATTCATACATAGAACATATTGTTGAATTTTATCTTGTATGTTTGCACCAAAGCATAATGTCCTGGCCTGAGAAGATTATAATAGCAGGACAGACATATTTTAACTGAGGTCTCCTGGGTTAAAATCTTGTCTATTTAAAGAATAGCATTATGTTTAATTTTTTAGCTTTCTACATAATATAGCAAAGAGGCCATATAGTCATCCATCTTGATATTAAATATTAGAAGAACTGCAGCAGAAAAATAATCTGTCTGTTCCCCTCCTTATTCAGCCTTTAGCAATCTTCTGGGTTCTTTTTAACATACTAGAGCAATGATGGCGAATCGTTTAGAGACCTGACACCAGCGAACGCATGGGGGCTGACTGGCGCACTCTGGGGCTTCGCAGCCCGCCGCCAGCAGTTCAGAGAAGCCGCTCTGAGCTGGACGGATAGCTGACAGCTGAGGAGGCAATGCAGTGGGGCGTGCCTGGGAAAAGGAGAGCATGCGAGGCCAGGAGGGATGGGACGGAGGGGAGGGAAACTAGCCGTGCTGGGATGCACCCGGCCAAGTGGGACCTCGGTGAGTTAGCGGGCGCCTAGTTGAAGAGGGATGGTTGCCATCTCCAGGGCATGGTGCGGGTGCCCACAGAGAGAGCTCTGAGTGCTGCCTCTGGCACGCGTGCCATAGGTTCACCACCACTGTACTAGAGTAAGACAAAGCAGGCAAGAATTGTCTACCCAATTCCTCATTAAGCTGCTTCCTCTTTTTATCCAGACATGAGGTAATAATAATGAGGTAATTGTGGAGCATGAGACAACTCATACCATGGCAGAGCAATGCTACATTCAGGTGCAGGGTGTTCCAACACCAGAGCATCCACAATATCCAGGTTTTGCTATGTGGAAATGAACAAAGCTTGTTTTGTTAGTACCTGCTGCTTACTAAGCACCCGAATTGTGATTACATGACTATGAGGGATACTGCAGTGATCATAAATCTGAGGACTGAGGACCATTCATAAGTCGTTTTTTTCAATGCCACTGTATCTTCAAATGATCGCTAAACAAATGGTTGTAACACAACCATTGTATTTTTTGATGATTTCCCATTTCAGTGCTAACCAAATTCAGTCTTGCTTTGCTTTCTAAGGTCAGCCAAAATCAGCTAGGTGCTGCCACCTAGTTGTTCTCAGGGGAGGAAATGCAAAAAATCTTTCCTGGACCATCTTTCCAGGAATTTTAGGATTGCAGCCTCAGTTGCTTTAAATGTATTTGCATTAATGCAGGGGTGTCAAACTGCCGGCCTGCTGGCTGGTTGCATCATATGGAGGCCATGCCCACCCCAGCTCCAGCAATGCAAAAAAAAAAGTCACGATATGTCACGTGATGTGGCGAGTTTGACACCCGTGCATTAATGCATATACCAATGTGTGTCTGTCTATCTGTCTGTCTGTTTTTATTTGGAAATGTTTTGGCCATTGCCCAACAATTTTATTCAATTATTTGTCTTCCTTTTATTTCCATCTTTAGGATTATGAGCGGAGCCTTCGATTGCTGAGTCTAGATGACATAGAGCGTTTAGCCACACGCTTGCTTCATCCTGAAGTAGCTGAGGCTGTGGAAATGGGTTTTTTGGATTAGCTGCTGAACTGGAGAACTGAGCCCTCTTCATCACTTTGGACAGTAAACCCCTGGGCAGGGCCCAGTTTGGGACCTAATGCGAGTGATCTCTCTGGACTGCTGTTAAAGGATCATGAAGCATATGTAACTTCTCCCCATCAATTAAAAGTGATGATAGGTGAGATTAATCTGTTCTGTCTAGTATGTTCAACAGAAGTGGGAGAGTGGCATTCTTTAGAGAAAATTTGCAGTTGATGATGGCTTTGTTTATATTTGAATTTTTTGTTTAACCCCAAAGCCTGGTTGCGTCTAATAGATTCCTTTTTATTGTTTTATTCAAAGGCTTTTTTGACAATAAAGTTCACGGGAGGTTACAAGCAGGAAATCAAATCTGAATAATACAAATTTGAATTATGACTTTTCAAAATTTTAACATTGATACTCTCCAGAATGACTACGTAAATTTTGATAATGTATGAGCTAATTCTGAGTCCCCTGTTTAATCAGCATTGTTAGATAAGAAAACCTTTGTCAAATATTTTAGATTGCTAAATGTTTCAAGAAACAAGACAACTGAATGTTAATCAGATGGCTAAGCAGTGTTTACTGGCAGAGTTCTGCATATATTCTGTATGCTTAATATTTCTTAGGTAGATCAATTGAGTCCTTGTAGCAGTGTATTCAACTGCAATCCAGAGCACACCTAAATTTACTGGTTCATTGCCCAAAGCACTCTTCCCCAAATTAAATGCAATCCAGATGTGTGAGGGGGGTTTCAACTTCCAGAATTCCCAATCAACATCAGGAGAGCTCCTAATTTGGGAAGGCTGGGCTCAGGCGCTGTTAGAATAAGGCAGCAGATGTCCCCAGAGAGGCAGATCTACTGCCTTGGCTAAAAGCAATCCCTCTCTACCTAAGCCCTCTCCACTTTACCTGGCAGTATTTTTTATTGCAGATCCTGAAAAGGGGTAGAGTTACAAATTGATCATGAGCCATACAGAGGAGGATTGTGTCTATGACCCCTATGGATGTATCCCTGAGTTATACAAGAACAGGATTTGGTTAAGTAATTCTTGACTCCAGTGAAAGAAGAAAAGCAAAAGATCTCCTACCAAATTTCTTTGTGTTGTTTTCTTATTCTTATGGAGATGGGTTAAATGAACAGACAAAAGTATGGTATCCAGCGTTCCATGAAAATGTGATTATAATTGCTCTGTAAATCATTGATAAATCAACCTCACTTTTAGAATTATGACTGTTTTAGTAATCTGTCCGTGCCATGCTTGATTTTACACCTCTCAGTGAGGTACCTCCAATGTTGCTTGTTTTTTTAAAGTCAGGTTCCAAATGCTGTAGCCTTTTCTCTCTCTCTTTCTCTCTCTTTCTCTCTCTCTCTCTCTCTCTCTCTCTCTCTCTCTCTCTCTCTCTCTCTCTCTCTATATATATATATATATATATATATATATATATATATATATATAGAAGGCATCTGATACCTCTGATTATTTTGGTTGCCCTCCTCTTTCCTTGTACCTACTAATTTTTTTTTTTCAAACATGGTTATCAGAATTGTCTGGAATATTACAGATTGGATGCAACGGTATTAGTTTTGGCAGTTACTTTTATCTTTTGTGCAACAATCCATAATGTGGAATGTGCCTCTTCCATAGTCTGCATAACTTACACTTAATCAGCATCTTCATTGAGCTATCAACTGTGACTCAGAACTCTCCCCCCCCCCCCGTTAGCTTTTAAGGGCTCAAACCACAATCCTCACAGAAAATAGTAAACATAATTATTTTTTACCTTCTAACAAAAATGGGAGCTTCTCATAAAGTTTCCTAGGGTTGGCGAAATAATTCAGACTCAGTCATCTGGAGCTACATTTTTGGAATGAAACAAAAAAGAGAGCTGGGTGTTTTCCACAATGCTGTAATCTGAATAATATTCAGTACAACTTGAAATCGATACTGCACAGCAGGAACTGAGCTCTGCTTTTGATTAGAGCAATGGCGCTGGGAGGTGGAAAATGCTCTTGCTTCTTCCTGCCACAATATCTGATGTCATTATATGATCCACCAAATAAGATGCTATGAATGCCTAAATTAGGAAATTACTGGAAGCGCTATATCGCAGTTGCGTGCGTTGTGTGCGTATTTGTGTGTAAATATTAAAAAATTAAGGAGTTGTAAGAACTCTTGATTTGTGTATGTCTGGTAAGGGGAAATAGTAACACTTAGTATTCTACCATCCATCATATATTATGTTTCAACTGCAGGATTGCATGTGGATGATTTGTAAAGTATATAGCTTATTTGCCAATAGCAATGGCAATGGCAATTCAGAATAATCAGCAAAATGTCTTCACCTTAGGTTGCCACTGTCAACAGTAGTAGTATTATAATAGTATTAATTATAATCTCAGGTTCGATATTGACTAGACCAGTGTAGCTTTTTTCTTGGTGCCCCTTAAATGGATTGGAACCGAAACTTTTAAAATTCCTACCCAGCATCTGGAAAACCCTAAATTGGGAGAAAAAAAATCAATTGATGAAGGTGTTGCCTGAACCAGGCTATTGCATTAAGAATATTCATTTGTTTGGGCATATCCAAACCTACCCAAATATTTGAACTTCTGCTTCCATTAGGCCAGCTAGCATAACCAATGGCAAAGAATATATTAGACTCTTGGTCAGTGGTTCCCAACCTTCTCTATACCCTGCACCCCTAGAATGCTTCTGATATATTCTCGCACCCCTTACAAAAGGTTGAAATAATGGCAACGAATTATGCATATACCCTATAATTTTGAAAACCCAAGTTTTTGCACCCCCTGGAATATCACTTTGCACCCCTGGTTGGGAACCCCCGTTCTTGGTGTTACTTACTAACCCAGGGGTAGGCAACCCAAAACACTCAAAGAGCCACTTGAACCCGTTTCCCACCAAAAACAAAACACCGGGAGCCGCAAAACCCTTTTGATATCTAAAATGAAGATAACACTGCATATATGCTTTTTTACCTTTATTATAGGGGTGTGTGCATGTGTGTGTGTGTATGTATACACACACACACATATTAAAAATAAAAGTAAAAATATGACTCTTGGGAATATCCATACTATTAAAACAATGATCACCAACAGAATGCTTTAATGCTTTAAGAGAATAAAATTACATACACACACAGGTAAAAAAAGGATATATGCAGTGTGATCTTCATTTTAGATGTCAAAAGGGTCTCTCTCTCCCTCCCTCTCTATCTGCCCTTGGTCTACCAGTCCTCTTCCCCCACTCTCTCTCTCTCTCTCTCTCTCTCTTTCTCCCCCCCCCCAATCTGGTGCTCACCTGGCAAGCTTCAAGCTGTTGTCCAACAAGCTCAGGGATAGAAAACCTCGTGTCTTTTATGACTCATGGACTTCAACTCCCAGAATTCCTGAGCCAGCCTAGCTGGGCTAGCTAGCTCTCTCCTGCCCTTCCTGCTTCCTGCTTCCTGCAGAGACGCAGCAAAGGGAGGAGCTCCGCCCAGTAAGCTTTTCAGCTCCTCGGAGAATAATGTGAGTGCACTCTCTTTCACACATACACACACACACACACACACACACACACACACACACAAAACACACACACAGAGAGAGAGAGAGAAGCAGGGAAGCGCAATTGCCTCTCTCTGTCTCTGTCTCTCTCTGCAAAGGCAGAGGAGGCTGGGAGCCACAGGGGAAGGCTCAAAGAGCCGCATGCGGCTCCGGAGCCGCAGGTTGCCGACCTGTGTACTAACCTTTCCATGTATGGAATTTTTCATGACTCTATAACCCTGTGTTATTTTTTGGTTCTTGGAGTTTTTTTTTAAAGGAAGAGGTATAGTTTGATAAAATAGAAATTGAAGAGGGAGCAAGGTTTTATCAGTTCACTAAGTTACTCCCCCAGAAAATGAGATGCAAGCAGACAGCTCTTTAATACCTTTCTCCCAACTTTTGGTACAGGATTGAGCAGCTGAAGTGTGCAAAGGGAAACATTTATCAAAGCTACAAGGGTTACTGGTCTTGAGGTATAAAGAGCTAGAGGCTGGGTAGAAGGCAGGTGATGCACATAATAAAATTGAGGTGCTCTCTTCTTCCTCAAAGGACCACTTTTTGGCCTCTGGGCTACCAGATAACTCTCCTATGTAATGGTTAGTTTAATATTATATGACTCGAAGAGATTACCTGCTGAAACGAAACAACCTGTTCTGCAGTGTGCTGTGTGCTGTGATTGCTCTGCACTTTGAGATCAGATCTGTGCTGATGGGTTATTCATTTATTTGTATCCTGCCTTTATTACTTTTACATATAACTTAAGGCAGCAAACATACCCTCCTCATATTTTCCCTACCATAACAACCCTAAAAGGTGAGTTGGGCTGACAGAGGATAGTCCCATGGTGGTGAACCTATGGCACGCGTGCCGCAGGTGGCACGCAGAGCCCTCTCTGTGGGCACGCGCGCCATCACCCCAGTCCTAGGCCTTCAGCTGGGTTTTATAAAACCTTTTCGCTTTAGGCCTCCACCGCCGTGTGCAAAAAAAAAAAAAAAAAAAAAAGGTTCAGTCAATCAATTTCAACTTCTTGCAGGAAAAAAAAAAGATCTCGCAACGTTGGAATTGATTGATTGAACTTTTTAGTCCTGCCCAGTCTACCATTATCACTGCAGCCACACCCACCCAATGGGCCACTTTCACCCAGCATCCTACGATACATAAGTGGTTTTTGGGTTGCAGTTTGGGCACTCGGTCTCTAAAAGGTTCGCCATCACTGGGATAGTCCAAGGACACCCAGCTGGCTATGGCGGCACTAGAACTCAGTCCCTGGTGCATCTACACAGCAGGAATGAAAAACATGGCTGAAAATGTTTGGAGATGCAGCATTTCTTTCATGTCTTGATTAAAAGTAAAAGCATTTAAAATAATACTCTGAATGGAATTTACACTTTTTGTTCAGACCTTTCATCATACAGCGATATAGTTGTATAAGAATTGTGTCCTGCGGGTACTGGGTTCATGGAATCAGAGACAATTTTGTCCTGGGACCAAAAAAGATGGCTTAAAAATAGTTGAAATATGAAGTAAGTGGATGGGATAATTATAAGCAGCTGCATCTTCAGTTGCACAAGCTGTAGGAGCTTTTTCTGGATTTTGGGAAACCTTGGTATCTATTTTGTAAAACTAACTTTGAATCTAAATTTGGCTCAGCCTTTGGAGGGAGGGGAGTCACAAAAAGAACCTTGATTGTATCCTAAATGCTTATATGCTCAGAGAAAAATTAAAGGCAAAAATCCAGCAAATCAGGCTGTTAATACCAATATGGCCCAGATTTTAAGAATTTTACTTTGATGCCAAATCACTTACTCGATGAGGCAGAAAATCACTTTTTCAAGTCACTTCAAAGTCAAAACCACGGAACTACAATTCACTTTCACACATTGGTGTTTGTGTTTCCAATAAGGACTTGAAAATGTGAATAGTGTAGATCTGCACAGGTCTAACTCTGCAGACAGAACATTTGTATCAACTCACTTCCTGTCAGGCTTAATATATTCTAACATAATTCACACATTTGGTAATAAAGAACTGATTTTAACTGCAATAGCTATGAATGACATGTTTGTGAATGACCATTAGAAGTATTACCACAAACCGAACTTGTACAATGCCTCATATGATTCAAAGGCAAACTTTTCCAGCATTTCCTATTATTCATATATTCTGTTCCCTCAGAAGGGGATTCATACGTGGATGCTTGTTACCTGAATTATGGTAATGGATGAACAGAGGTACCAAAATCAGAAAACTGATACCTTAGAATAATGTGTTTGGGTGGGGAATCTATGAAAATCCTTGGCCTCAAGTCACACAGCATCAAGCAGGATTGATTCTTGTCATCATCCTAACTAGCTAGAAAAATCAGATGATGAGAAATGCTTTGGCATAGTTCCTAAAATGCCAGGAAGATTTTTATTTTGTTTTTTAATGGCAAAGATTCAAGTTACAGAGTCAGGGATACTTTGATCTCAGAATGGAAAGTGACAAATGCCTTTTGAAGGTGCTTTCCTGTTAAAGATAACACACATTGATGTTCAGAGATAAAACTCTACTTATATTCTGTTTTATCCCGAAGTATCAAGGCAGATTTATTTTGGAACATGAAAATGTAAACTACAACAACTACTATTTGAAAAATATAGGTTGGTCTCAAGTCTATTTGGTACCTTGTT